GGTCCACTTGCTCCAAATAAAGGTGACTGCCAATGAACGTCACTAAATGCCGGGTTATGCAAGAACAGTCTGCCAAATAGACTGCCAGGTTGGCATCCATTCCAGCTGAAAGATCAAGAGACAAAATTGATGTCACTGCTCTCAACCGGCCTTATAGGATTTGTGAAAACCCGAGACAACAGCAATTCAGGCAATTTAGAGCATTGGCAAATAGGGCTTGGCACGGAATGCCCCTTGCACCACCGTGAAGAGCCACGGTGTTGACACGTGCTTTATGTACACGTGAAGGATGTGGCCTTGGCAATGAAGCACAATTATTGTTGAACCCTGGGAGAGAGAGAATAAGGATACGCTTCTCTTCATGGAAGGGGATATTGCTTTCAAGAGCCAAAACAAACAATGGGTCTGTTTCCAAGCCATCTTCTCTTGTTGATTTAATGGTATAAATGTGCTTAGGACACTTCTCCAGGTCTACAGCACAAGCTACACCTCTCAGTGAGCAAGAAGCACCAGAGTGCCAAATGGGGCCTTTACGAAGAGGAAGCTTGATAGGGCAGGTATGTGATTTATTTTTATTTTTTGCCCCCCAATACTACCAAAATGAGAGTAGAATTATCTAAATTGCTGCAACAGGTATACAGTGCAACAAAGAAAGATGGTATGGTTCTTAGATTTCAGTTACTATCCTGTGCATGCCAGCATAAGGATAATCCCCATGGGGTTCAGTGGGAGGTTTCTAACAACTGTGCATAGAATCAGGTTCTAAGAGGTTTGGATTAACCAGAAATGTTCCAAGCAAAAGAGAATTTACAATGGCAAAGGTTTATGAATGGTGGTAGTTAAATTCAACGATATAAAAAGGTACTACAAAATGAAATTCCATCTTGGATTCAAGTAAGACTTTTAAATCAAGGATATAACTTTTTAATATCCAATATCAATCTTGACTCTTGATGATTATATGGATAGTTCATGTAGTTTTCTTGGCAACATTTCAGGAGTTTTCATTGGAGAGTGTATGGACTGACTCCCAAATCACCCAACTGTTTTTGAGTGTAAGGGAAGTCTTTTTATAGTTATAATGTACACTGAAGATGGCATTTAATTTTGTTGTACCATGTACAATGACAATAAAGTAAAGTAAGTAAGTAAGTAAAACTCAGTCTTTCCTAGATCAGTGCACTTAACCATAATACCAAACCACATCACATAGATTAGGCCTCCTCCGAGTTCCATCTGCCAGTCAGTGTCGACTGGCAACTACACAGAGGAGAGCCTTTTCA